CATTTCCCTCACACCACCAATCCTCAATTGCCATTTTATCTTTTTCTGCACAGAGGGCCACTTGCTGCTCTTTGCACAGAAAAGGGAGACTCCACTAGCCTTTGGAGGAGTCAACCCTAGGTGAGTTACATGCATCATATGATGCTGAGGCAAACTGACTTACTGGGTTGCAAGATGACTTAATTCCTGCATCATGTCTCCAATCATGGAAAACAAAGACGTGAACCAATCTCAGGAATTTTCTTGGAGGCCAAGCCTGAGTCCCAGGTGACTTTGCTCCCAAATGAGGAAGCGGAAGGTGGAGTGAAGCTAAGTAAGACATAGCAGCAATTCATTTGCTGTGTTGTGTTCTATCTCGAGGAGGGAGTTTAATGTTTTACCTGAGGCCCTCTGGATGGTCCTGGCCTGTTGGGCTGTATTTAGCTTATGGGCCATGCTTTACATATCCCTGTCTTAAGATCATCTTCAGAAGTTGTTCCCCATATGTTCCTCCTAAATGAAGTATGGCACTTAGCAATTAGCAGTTGGAAAGGAGACTGTCTGCCTTCCAACCTTTGCTTTCTATATACTATGATATTTTCATGTCCATAAAAGGGCTTTTAATTTTTTCCATGCTTTTCTACCTTAAAATAGTTCATGTATTTAAAGTTCACTGCTCTCTTGTCTCTCATTGCTGCTTTTATTTTTGTTTTGTGCTCTTGCTGGTTGTATTGCTATTTCAGACTTTATTTTGACATTTGAATGCTTTTTATTTTTCCTCTAAAACAACTCGAGAATTCTCAGTAATTGGGTGCTAGGTAAAAAAATTAACACACTCAATTGCATTTGATTGATTAAACTCTCTTTTAATCAGACAGCGTCACTTCTTCTCCTCCAAGCAATCTTTTAAGAAGAAACCCATGGCAGGAATTTCACCTAGTATTTTTCCAGCTCTTCTCACACATCTAAGTACCATTTTGTAGATTTGCATTTTTGGACGTGCAGGTTTATTCTTTTTCACTTCAACATCCATTTTATTTCTATTAAATACAAAAGGAATTTTATTTTGAGTGGGTGTTGAAGACAGCAGAACTGCTGTCAATTTCTTCTTTAAAACCTGCTAAGCTTTCAAAGCAGAAGCTGTCTTATTAGAAGAGAGCCAAGAGGGAATACACACTAACAACAAGGGGAAAATCCCTAGGAGGAGCTGTCCAGCAGGCTATCATTTTTCCTCAGGATTGGAGAAAGGAGACAGAATGCTATTGGTGAACAGCAGGCCAACCAGAAGTCACTGCCCTGTAATGACTCTCCTTTCGCTAGCAACCAAGGCCAAATTTGAGCCACTGACCTAGAGCTGAAATGCTCCATATCCTGTTACCAATCCTCTGGGGCCATCTGGTTCCCCAGATTACAGTGTACATGAAATATATTCACCATACAGTATCTTCTTACAGCTCTGAAATTAGTATGATTTTAGCATCTAGAGGAATGTAAAATCCTCCCTGTCTCTGTAATAATCACAAATACAGGACCGGGACTATTTTATTTATTCAGTTCCCTGATCAGCTTATGCCCTAACAGTACAGTCTAATATAGATACAGACGGAGACAGAGTGATTAGAGGAGCAGAGCTCTGTAATCAAAATAAAGATTACATTCAGTGAACATGGATTGTATCTAACTAATCAGTTTCTTCATATTCCTTTGAATTACATCTTGATTCCAAATCAGGGTAGACCAATGGCTGCTGGTGGTGGTAGCACATTGCTCACCTTAGCCTCACGCGGAGGCCATTCTCTGCTTTTCCTGCTGCATTTTCCCCTGCCTGACTTTCAGTTTAAAAACAATATGGATCTCCACGTGCGTCATGTTTTAATATAAAACTGAGGGTTGCTGCTTCTGCTGCTGTGCCACTAAAATGTGATGCCCTGAATCACCAGGATCCACCAAAATGAGAATTCTATGTGGCACCACCCACAACTTCACATAAGAGCAAAGGTTTGAGCCTTCTTGCTCTATACTTCAGAGACAGGGATATCTGTGACTGGAAAGAGATGTGGTTTCCCCACACACACCCTTTCCCAAGAGGTAAAGCAAGTGTGGTGGGTCTAAGCCCTCCAAATAATGTGGAGATTATAGTTCCTATTAACCTAAACCATTGGCCACATGTGTTAGTATTCATATGAACTAAAACTGAACAACATCTGGAAAACCAGAAGTTTCCCATACTTGGGATAAAGAATCCCGAGAGAATTCCATGTCTCCAAGAGCAGAGATATAAGAGGAAGCCTCTACTTATTTCAGAATTTCAAACCAAACATGCTAATTATATCTGGGCATCAATATTGCTGGCCTGTCATAAATGCTGATTCATGCTCAGTGTGCTGGCAGTGTGATATGTCATCACGTAACCATCTGGACAAGCCTTTTACTCAGGAACATTTGCTAGAATCCACTGTTTCCCTTCATCCATTCCAGAAGCTGAAAGACTTCAACCAGTTTCTCATAATTGTGAGGCAATTGCTTGGATGCTTCGTTATTTCCAGATTAGTCTTTAGAAGAGTGACAGTCGTATATGCAAAATGACACTTGACAAACACAAGTGTTCACGGTGTTAGTGTGAAAAATGTTGTTTTGAAATTCTTTCAAGTAAAATAAAAAGAAAACTATTGTGGGGTTATATAATCCACTTGTTCAGGCACAGAGAAAAGAAATGTTTGAAGAAGTGGGTTGTAGTAGGTCAGTGGTTAAGGCATCTGGCTGCGGAGCCAGAGGTTGGGAGTTTCGTTCCCCCGTGTGCCTCTGTGACAAGGGCTGGACCTGATCTATAGGGTCTCCTCCGGCTCTGCAGTTACAAGGTTATTATTACAATCCATGATAGCTATCACTGAAATAATTATTTAATTTATTTTCTGTCACAGTATCTTTTTTTTTTTGTCCTTGCATAAGCATGCTAGCCTGGGAAACTGTTTTAAAATAGAAGTAAAATAGTAGTTGTCACGATTCCACGTGGCCCCTGATTGTTTCACCAAAGAGCTCACGCCACGTGACCCTCAGCTGCCACCAGTTGATTTCATCAACAATACCTATTACTAATCATCGAGGTCCAGGCCATATGTCATTTTAAAAGAACTAAATAAAAATTGCTTATCGATACAAGTGTTGACAGAACAAGCAATGTTATTGACTCTTAAACAAACATTCTTCTTTATCCCTCTCAACCACTGGTCTCCTGCCCAGACGCCAAATCTCTCTGTCTAACTCCTGTTCCTGCTGCTGAGTCTCTTATACCTCGTGACTCCACCCCTCCAGCACTCCCATTGGTCTATGCAAATAGCATATGAATAATCATGACCTGGCGAACACCACATTTCTCCCTTAATAAGTTTGTTTTAGGAGGGGAAACTTAAGGGTTGCTGTCATAAACAAATGAAGGTTTATGAAAGAATACAAATATCAACCTCTTACATTATTTACATCAATACAAATTACATTATATTGCCTTTACATTAATAAAGATACTCACCATTATTTTTACCCTCATTATACACTTCTCAGTTCATCAACACCCAAGCAAATTCTGCACTTTAAGCATATTCCACAACTATTATACAAACAGAACAGTCAATACAATATTAGAAACTTTTACACACCCATTAGTCATTTGGCCTTCGAGACAAGGCGTCAGCAACCACAGTCTAGGTCCCTTTTATACTGCGGATCTCAAAGTCAAAGTCCTGCAGGATCAGCGTCCATCTTGCAAGTTTGCTGCTATTTGGTTTCATAGTTCATAGCCACACCAAAGGAGAATGGTTGGTGCAGAGGACGAATTTCCTTACCCAAATGTAGGGCTTCAGTTTTTGCAGCATCCATACAATAGCTAGGCAAAGCCTCTCAATGGCAGACAGATGTCTCTCACCAGGTTGGCGTCTCCTGCTGATAAAAGTCACTGGGCATAGACTCCCGCTGTTGTTTGCTTGGCACAGCACAGCTTCCAGCCCCACGTTTGACGTGTCCGGGCTGATGATGACCTCACAGTCGAAGTCCAGCACAACAAAGACAGGTCCTGAAGTCCGCATCCTCTTCAGACGACTGAAAGCTACCTGGCACTCTGACGTCCACTGGATGTCCTCTGCTCACCTTATCAACAATACCTATTACTAATTATCGACATCCAGGCCATATATCATTTTAAAAGAACCAAATAGAAATTGTTTGTTGATACAGGTGTCGACAGAACAAGCAATTATATTAACTCTTAAACAAACATTCTCCTTTACCCCTCTCAACCACCGGTCTCCTGCCCAAACTCCAAATCTCTCTGTCTAACTCCTCCTCCTGCTGCTACTGAGTCTCTTATACCTCATGACTCCGCCCCTCCAGCACTCCCATTGGTCTATGCAAATAGCATATGAATATTCATGACCTGGGCGAACACCACAGTAGTGTATAATAGTATTTTGAAAAGTCTGAAGACATTTATTAGCAGCTGTCTGGATAGCTCAGTGGTTTAGGTATCTGGCTGCAGAAGCAGAGGTTGAGAGTTTGATTCCCCACTGGGCCTACTGTGAATAGAGCCAGCCTATGTGGACTTGAGCAAGCTGCAGAGTCCCAGGGTGCCCCCAGAAGAAGGGATAGGTACACCTCTTCTGAGTATTCCCTGCCTGGAAAATCCTGAAAAGGATCGTCATAAGTCAGAATTGACCTGACAGCACATGAGGATGAGGATGACTAAGACATGTATTGTAATTTTTCTTCATGTCATTTAATTAAGCCTTTTGCTGTACATTCAGGAAAACTGAATTTGCCTTTTGTTGTTGAAAATGGCTATATAATTGTTTTGGCTTAATCTAGAAATTGCAAAGGACAGAATTGGTTCATGTGGGTACATTAAAGTCTATGGATATACAGCCAAATTACACTAGATAGGGTTAGTAACATTTTTACATACAAAAAATACCACTAGATTTACTTGAGAGAACCCTATTATAACAAACATTTTGTTTTGTGTTTCTTTATAGCTGGAAATGGAGAAATCACAGCTAGAAGCACTTGAAATGGAGCATAAGAAGCTCTGCACTCGTCTTGAAGAGGAGCGTGGCAAGAATAAACACGTTGTCTTGATGCTCGTGAAAGAATGCAAACAGCTATCCAGCAAAATTGTCGAAGAGGCACAGAAGCTGGAAGAGGTCATGGCCAAATTTGAGGAAGAAAAGAAGAAAGCCAACGAACTGGAGGAATCTCTTGCTGCAGAGAAGCAACGGAACACGCAGATGGAGGCCCAAATGGAGAAACAGCTTGCCGAGTTTGATACAGAAAGGGAGCAACTGCATGCCAGACTCGGTAGAGAGGAAGCTCACACCAGTGATCTCAAAGAAGAGAGAGAGAGAATGAGGAAAATGATTGAGCAGCTAAAAAAGGAAAATGACAGTAAGTTGCACCTTTCGCTTCCACGTAAGAATAAAGAAAGAGGTTCTGTTTCTGTCTCGGTTGGAACGGAGGGACCAACTCTGAGAACACTTGCCTGCCAGACAGATGCAGCATTAATTGATGGTGGAACTGAAACTCTTAGGAAGTTGCCTTTAACTGTACCTCTGAAGCCTTCAGCCGTCAACCCTTTGCTCCCTAGCCACACAAAGATGAATGTAGGTTCCAGTACAGGATTTGTGAAGCCACCCATTGACAGGCATTCTTCCTGTAGTGACCTGCTCCTGTCCCCTGCAACTCCACATCTGACTCAAGGTCAAAGCAGAATCGAGGAGAACGGACCAAGTCCTTCATCTGACTTCACAAGTCTACCTTCTCCTTTCCCTAATAATGTGGCTTCCTCCCCAGCGCCCAGTGTAGTACCTCAGAACTACTTGCAGACTTCATCTATGCACTCTCCTCATTCTCCATCCACCTGCGCGGCTGGGCATCAAGGTCTGAATCCACGTGTCCAGGCAGCTAGGTTTAGGTTTCAGACCAATGCTAACGATCAAGACCAAAATGGGAACACTACCCAGAGCCCTCCATCTCGAGATGTGTCACCCACCAGTCGAGACAACCTAGTTGCCAAGCAGCTAGCTCGGAATACTGTCACCCAAGTCCTGTCAAGATTTACAAGTCCACAAGGTGCTGCATCTGGACGGCCGGGAATCTCACATTCGATAGACGTTGGCACTTACCCTCCCCCAGTTGGTAGAATGAGCTTAAAGACTCCCAGCGTATCAAGGATTGACAGAGGAAACCCTCCACCCATTCCTCCCAAAAAACCAGGTCTTTCACAAACTCCTTCTCCACCACACCCACAGCTTAAAGTAATTATGGATAGTGGCCGCTCCCCTAACGTAGGTGCCAAAACCGAGGGCAAAACCCTAGTTTCACCTCCTTCCAGTTCACCTCAAGGAATCAGGGTAATAAATGAGGAGGTTATTTCTAAGTCCTCACCTCAGCTGCCACCAAAACCGACAATAGATATATCTGTGGCATCTGCAGGCTGTGCCATACCAGCCATGGCCACATCTCAGGTGGGTGCCTGGCCTTCCCAATCCCCTGGACCAAGCCAACCTGCATGTTCAGAAAGTTCCTTTGTCATTCCCACCATCATTGCCTGTAGCTCCTCCATAAACCCCATTAGTGCTTCATCCTGTAGACCATGTGATTCAGACAGCCTACTGGTAACAGCATCAGGTAAAGGGATTGTTGATATATTCCTAAACTCTCTCCCTCTATGAATGGTCTCCTCTGCTTCTGTTTTGCCATATAATCTATATATTTTTCCCATGGCTTTCCTCCTCTCTAAATTTCTTTTCTTTTTCATTTCTTTTGCAAACTTGAAATTTACATGTGTGTCCTTTCAGAGTTTCAGGGGTATGGGAAATCTATTCTGTTTCACACATTTTGGATCTCCCCCCCCTTTGGTGCATATCACCATAAAATAGGGCTTTTTTTGAGGGGGGTGTCTTCCAAAAAGCAATTGTATGAATGTCCCCCTGCAAGTTAGCTACTCTTACAATTAGAATGAGTATTAATTACTCACGTTTAGCTCTTCCCTCCTTCCACCCTAGATTTCTTTTCTATCAGGAAAAAAAACCTGGGTGAAGGAAAGAAGAGTGTGCTTAACCCTTTCATGCTCAGTTGTTTGTCCTCTCAAAATAAACCCCATAGCGGCTTTCCTCATCAAGAGGTAAAAAAATGCATACTTCCATATTTTATATCTCTCAGAAGGAAGGCAAGGGGCCGAACTGGGAGAGAAGAATAGAATGTAATGTTTCAAAGGTTTTTTGCCATTACATTTTTGAGGACCCTCCCCCATCACCTCATTCTTTATCATCTTTCAACTGGTTGTACCAAAAAAAAACTTTTTAAAAAACATATTTGTTTTTAATATAATTTCCGTGCTAGCTGGATTAGGTATCTGGCTGTAAAGCCTCCTGGGAGAAGAGCCAGCCTGTGTAGCCTTGGGCAAGCTTCACCGTCCCAGGGCACCCCCAGAAGAAGGGAGTGGGAAACCACTTCTGAGTATTCTGTACCTGGAAAACTCTGCAAAAGGGTCTGCATAAGTCAGAATTGACTTCACATGACATGACTTTTTATTAATAATATAATTTCAAAGGTATTTTAAAACTGTTAACTGTGTAGTTTTGATGGTTGCTTCATTTATTTATATTTAAATAAATAAACAAATAGCATCATTTACAATTTAAAATAAAAACAGATTCTTATTAAAAAATAAATAACGGGGTTTTTTTTGGAAAATAAATTTAAATTCTCATAACCATATTTACCACAGAGATTTGTTTAAACTGATGAGCATGCTTTCATCTATGAAAATTTCACAATCATGTACTGACTGCCCTTGGAATCTGGGAAGCAAAGGGCTAAACAGATACTTTCCTGCCCCTCACCAATCCGTTTCTTCCCAGTTTGCTGCTTTACCTCATAAAAGAGAGCTTTTAGGAGAAATCACAATCAGCATTATCATCATCATCAAAACATGTATATTCTCCCCTTCTGATGCAAATAAACTACTTGTAGTTGGTTTAAAAGAAGGGTGGACATTTTTGTGTGATGCACCCAATAACAGTACCACTGTCATTCAGTGGCAAATTCTAGTACTGTATCGTACTGGATTTCAGTGGGAATTGGGAGCTGGAGAACCAACTAAAACAAGCAGTTTGTATGCTTGAAATGATTTGTGGTGGTTGCTATTTCTTTTCGGTGGCAAACAAGGCAGAATATATTTATACTCCTTTGATTTAAAGGGGCTGTGTCTCCCCCAGATTCCACCAGAATTTTTGCAGTTGGTTTGATGAGGACAGATAGATGTGCCGTGATGGAAGGAGATGCCAGAGATGCCCACCTAAGATTTAAAATGTACAGGTTCATATATACAAGGTATAAAACAATCAGCCGAGAAGACGGAGTTATTAAAAACAAAAAATTAGAACACTGTTGACTGCATAGCAGCGAAACACTGCTGGAAGAAAAGTTAGCAACCAGCAATTTGCGGGGTAGGGGGGAGCAACCACATTTCATGAGTTGAATCTTTAATCTGAATGCAGTCACTCTCTTCTGAAAGAATATAGTGGAGCTATGGCTTGGGATGATGGGAGTTGTATTTCATCACATCTGGAAGGCACCATATTTGGGGGAAATCAGTTACTTTCACCCTGGTTGCAAGGATTCCAGGGATAAAGTGTGACACTTTAACTAGGAACTGAGATCTTTGATTATGTTGCACGTTTCATTGAACTATATCAAAATAATTTCTGCTAAGTTTCTGAAAAAATTCTAGGAATGGCTTCTCCAGGGCCTGTCTTGTGAAACCATGCAGTTGAAGCTAATTTTAAAATGGTTGCCCTAGGTTTACTGGCTAGATAGCATAAACACCTGGGTGCGAAGCCAGAGGTTGGGAGTTTAATTCCCCACTGTGCCTCTTGTGGGAGGAACCAGACTGTGTAGTCATAGGACTTGTAGTCATTGGACTACAACCAGACTGTGCAGCACAGTCCCAAGGCACCCCCAGAGGAAAGCAATGATAAACCACTTCTGAGAACTAGAAGACCCTGAAAAGGGTTGCCATGCATTGGAATTGGCTTGATGGCATGCAATTACTATTGTTATCCTAATTTTAGATTTCTTAATTTAATAAACTAGTTATAGTTGGTTTTCTATATAAAGAATTCCCCCTTGCTCTTCCCTATTTCCATTTGATGAGCCTTTATACAACTGAGATAGTTCATTTCACATTTAGTTTTATAAACTCTCAAACCAGCCAAGAGGATTATTCCATCCATATAATCTGGTATGGAAGATGGTAGGAAGCAGGAAAATGTAAAGAGATGGTCAGAGACTGAGTCAGTTGTGTCGTTTCTTCACTGAAAATTTCCAAGCATTGACACTTTTTGGAAGTATAGTGACACCTTCCTTTTCCAGCAATTTCCAAGCAGTATTCCTTTGACCTAAACTGAATATAGAAATTTGATTTATAGAAATTCAGTAGCAAGTTGCATCTAGAGTAGGCTCACTGAATCAGTGGGACTTTAGTGAGTCAACTAAGTTCTGTAGGCCTACTGTAGTTGTGATTTACTGCTGAGCTTCAGCCATAATTTCTTTGAGGAAGGGATATAGTTCAGCAGTAGAGTACATGCTGTGCATGGAGAATATTTGTGGTTGAATTCCTAGCTTTCTCCAGGAAAAAGACTTCAGACTCAAGCGCACTTATATTGACAATATTGTGTTAAATGGACCGATGGTCTTCCTTCCTCTGGAAGAGTTTTAGAGTTAGATTTTTATTTCCCCCCCCCAAGCCTTCAGGAGAATAAGGTGTGCCTTCAGATTATTATGTACAGTAATTAGAACTGTTTAGATCTTTGAAGTGGGATAGGTTGCATTAAGGGCCCCTAAGTGACAATACCGAACACCAAATCGCTACTGAAACAATTTTTTTATATCCTAAATGGATCTTGACAGAAGAGAGTAGGTATAAGAAAGTGTGCTGAAAGATTTATGCCATGACATATCTACTCAGAAGGAGTATAGGATTCTATAGTTATTCTCCTCTGCCAACTTATTCGTGAGAACTCTATTTCTTCATATACCTTTTTTTTTACCATTGGGTGTTCCTAGAGAAATGCTTTATTTTTCTACATGCCACAGTGTTCTGAAAACAAATACTGTTCAAAGTTCTGTGCACAAGTTATTAAAAGTTATAGCAGCCTTGACTAAAAGCAGTACAATTATTTCATTGTGAAATGGGAAGCTTTAATATTTTACTTCCAATTTTTTTTTTGAATCTTTTGGTTCCAATTTTGACATTTTATTAAATGCCAAGTGGTGGTTGATTGATTAAAATTGTTTATTAATTGTGTAGAAAATAATCTTTAGGGTTAGTTAGAACACCAACAACTTGATTATGAATCAGATAATTGTAGATTTGTTAATGTTTCAGAAAAGGAAGCAGATTTTTCATCTAAATATTTACACATTTATAACTCCATCTTTTGTTCCCAGTAAAATCAAATGAGAATAGTTTTGTGTTAGCTAGTTTGACAGGGTAATCTTCTATCTGAAATTCCTCATTAATTAGCAACAAGATGCTTCACTTATTTATTAGGCTTCTGTATGTGGTACTATTGTTGTATAATTGCCCAAGTAATGTTTTAGTACTTTTCATGCAGTCATGTATTCTTATTTCACAAAAGACTAATTATAATGGAAGTAAGAAAAGCTTAAAATGCTTGAGAAGCTGCTATGGTACATCCTGTTGAATCAAATTTGCAAGATATAGGCTCTTACATTATTCTCACCCATTGTCATAATTTACAATCATTTAAATTGACATCTTGCTTCAGCTGATGCAGTTAAAGGGACAGTAAATCTTGAGCTGGCTGGATAGCTCAGTGGTTTAGGGATCTGGCTGTGGAGCTGAAAGTTGAGAATTTGATTCCCCACTGTGCCTCCAGAGACTGCCTGTGTAGTCAGTGGTAAGCTGTTCATTCTCATGATGCCCCTGAAAGAATGGAACGGTAAACCACCTCTGTAAGTTCTCTGCCTAGAAAACCATGGAAAAAATTGCTGTGAGTCAAAATCAGCTTGATGGCACTCAATTATTATTATTATCAAATCTCTAGGATGCTTCTGGTAAGCAACCAAAATTGAAGTGTGACGTAGCTTCCTTCTAGATATTACATACTGGTTTCTTTTAAGAAGCATTACACACAGAGAGTTGAACCACAGAATTTCTCTTGACTATATACCAGTGCACTTATATTGCAGCAATACGGAGACAGTTATAGTAGCATAATAAGTTACTTTTAGGAAGACAAGGTGTTTGTCTATCTTGTCTGCCATTGTCTACTCTGACTGGCAGCAGCTGGCCAAGTTCTCAGAAGGAGGGCTTTCCTATCACTTGCTGCACGAACTTTGTGCTTAGGATCATGTAGAGAATGAAGATGGAGCCTTCTCACACAAAGCATGTGCTGTATCAGTGAGTTATTTAGTCCTTGCAGTACTACTGTAAAAACTGGAAACAGAAGAACATGCAGTTGTGGGATAGGTTGTGACTACAATAAAGTGAGGCTTGAGGCCTTCTTGGCTTCCAAAAGTGCCACCAATGAAACTGCAGTCAGTGTGCAGTCCATGTACTCGTGTGATTCTGACTGACACATGAGTTCAACAAGGTGGGG